CGAGGAATCGAACTTACAACTTTCAGAACACTAGGCTAGCACCTAGCCACTGAGCTACCGAGGTCGGTTCTCGTAGGGGTTAGTACGGTGACTTATTTGAAACTCAGCGGGATCGTCTAGATCATCATCACTCTCCTGAGGATCTGCTCCTGCGCTTGGAACACTGGTCCTTCATCCAGAGGTTCGTTTCCCGCAAGACTTCTGTGAGGTTAGTGATGTCGTCCGGGTCTTTCTTCAGGGAGCCTACGCTCTGATTTAAATTTCTGAGTCATCCACGCGTAACGATTTCTGTACAATCGAATACAGTGGTGAGGATACGTCCCTTGGAGTCCGGGCTAAAACCTGCGATAATTCCGAAATAGGGCGTGGTACTTCTTCAATTTCTGCAATTTCTACTTTAGGAACCCTAAACAGTCAACCATGTTCGGGAATAGTCATAACATACTATTCGGACGCTATTTGTGACGTGCCAACCAAGTCTTCCTCTATTTATTATTCTTTATTAACAAATTTTCCTTCCGAGAAACACCGATGCCACGATCTTGGAGACCACAGTCACGTAGGAGGTGAAAATGCGCCAAGAGGTGTTTTTCGAAACTGAATAATTATGTCCTTTCAGTTGTCGACCCTTTTCCACTCAGGCCAAGACTCCAACATTTACTGCTAAGCTAGATTTTGAGGATCAGAATATACACAGTGTAACATTCCAATTCATGAAATGAAATTATAACTTTCATTTACCATAATCTTCATACCGTTCGGGTCTATCCAATATGATGTTTAACTTCGTGAAATAATTATCGATGAAATAATGTATTCTTGTCGCGAAGAAAAAACAAGCATGACGAAAAGAATGGAATTTAAAAAAATGCGTACAACAATTTGAACTGAAAAATGAAAAAATCTAAATATCTCAAAAAGTTTGTATGGGCAACTATATATATTTTAATTGATAATGACAGGGGACATCGAGACAAAAATTTTCACATAAAAAAAATGGATTCGGTTAAGTCAATTTTGAGATATTCCACATAATCATTTTACAGTAAAAATTGAATATCTCCGGAACTAATCAGTCAATCATGCTCATTTTCAATACCATCCGTTGCAGTGATAAAAGGACAATCTCGCCCAACTTTGAAGTTAATAGCTCAATTTTTGCGAGGGTGAGAATGCGTACAACAATTTGAAGCAAAAGGAAAAAATCTAAATATCTCGAAAAGTTTGTATGGGCGACTATATATTTTGATTGATAATGACAGGGGACATCGAGACAAAATTTTTCATATAAAAAAAAATGAATTCGGTCAAGTCAATTTTAAGATATTCCACATAATCATTTTACACTAAAAATTGAATATCTCCGGAACTAATCAGTCAATCCTACTCATTTTCAATACCATCCGTTGCAGTGATAAAAGGACAATCTCGTCAAAATTTAAAGTTGATATCTCGATTTTTGCGGGGGTGAGAGTGCGTACAACATTTTTTTTTCAAAAACATAAAAGTGACAATAACTATAATTTTTTCCAGAGTTCATTTTCAAATTTTTGATTGATTCCAATAGGGCCAATCATGGCGAAGAGAATGAAATAAAAAAAAACTGAATACCTTCATTAGTTTTGGAGATATTTCGAAAAAACCATTTATAAACAAATCACGATTTCTCAAAAACGGCTTGACCGATCTAGCAGAATTTTCATTCCATAGTCCATAGTCTCAACTCTTACCTACTATTTGACAGAATTTCAAATTTTTTGGAATTTTTTTACCCACCTTTATCTTTTCTTAACTAAAAAATCACCCCTGGCCAGGGAGCACCACGCACAGACATTCTCAAAAACTTTTGTATTTTTACATTTCAGACCATTCTACATCGTTTCCAAGCAAAATTAGAATTTTTTTTTTCGGTCGGGATCGGATGATTGCAATGCTGATAAAGATAAATGTGACTCAATCTAATAAATTCTATCTTCTGCAATTTCCACAAAAATGGTGAAAATAGCGATGCCAGCAATACTTCGCTTCTCTCGGATTTTCCCACACTGCCCATTGCAAATTGAAAATTTAAATTCGGGAAATATGACTGTAACATGTTCAATTTCACTGGGGATGAAATCGGACAGTTAACCCGCCCTTTTCCCCTGGAATCTAAAATCGTTGAAATAAAACCATAAGTTGGGCGCCAGTCATTCTTTGTTCCTCCGGAAATAACAAATCGGAATACCCTAAATTCCCAAAACGGAAACAAAACTCAAAAGTATGCTATAAAATAAAGTCTCGACAGAAAATCCCAGGAAAAGGTGGTAATTACCCGCGCTGCTCAGGAGGTCGGTTGTGGAGAGAGAGATGGATTCTGGTGGATACGAGTTTATTGAGCAAAACTCTAAAAATAATTACTCCAAAATCTCTAAATTCAAGAGCAAAACCAAAGTATATTCGATATAAAAATTATTGATACAGAGTTAAGAGAAATAAATACACAATTAGGCGTGATGTACGCAGAGACCCAAAAATTGAAATCTTTTAAACTCCAAACAGTCACAAACTCGGCCAAAAGGCACCAGAATAATCTCAGGCGGATATTCGCAATTGAAAAAAATAATTTTTATTCCCAACCGGGATGGCGATAAACGCATAATTTAATAAAAGAGGCTAATAATTCCCCAAACCCCTATAAATCATACTGAGGCGCAGGGCACATGGCACTCAAGGTACGGCACTGCTCGCAACATACAACAAGTGGAGGCTCACTGAGCATAAAACATAGCCACGTGTGGACTATCGGCCGCCGTAGCATGCGAGATTCAAAATAAATTCTCTAGAGGCACGAAAGCGGTACCCAAAACGTCGAAATACCCGAAATACTGGCGCGTGAAATGCATGACGAATCGTTCATATTCGTAGGCGTATTTTTTTGTTAATAAAACTGGCTAAACAGCAATTAGAGGCGCTAAAGTAACCGCAAAGGGAATGAGAGATGAGAGAGACTCTCACCTCAGCGTTCCACGGAACGAGAGAACAAGAGATGTTCTCCCCTCGGTATCCCAGGTAAGGCTCTCTTTAATTAGTGATTTTAACTAGCTGGAACATTCCCAAAATCGTTTCTGAAAGTTGACGTAACTGCAAATTCCCGAATAAGGCGTCTACTACGCAATTGCATCGTGGCGAACAATGAAAATCTCCAGCACGAGGCGCGATGGTTTTCCACGGATATTTTCCCTAAAAATGGCTCTACAGGCACGAATTCTGCTCTCCCGTATTGAGCATTAATTAATTATTAATTAGAAGGCGCGAGGATAACCCTAACACACACTCATAACGCGAAATCCGTAAAGATAAATGAGAAGCATGGCAATGCTCACCCCAAATCTTCCTCCGTGTCTCCAGGCTGTACCTCAGCAAAACTTTAACTATTTGTCTCCTCCCTGGCCTCAAAATGCTCTTCACACTCGGCACTACTCCTCAACACAAAAAAAGAAATCCTCCAAACTCGCAATTAACACCGGAAAACGATAATTTGTTGCACGCACCCGTATCTCTCGATGTCAACAACGAAATTGGCGTTTTCGCAATATGGCGGGCGGGAACGCGGTCAGCGCCCCGTCTTGCAACTAAAACCTTATCAAATTCCCAATCGCGCGAAATATAAAATAGGCAACACTGCAATTTAATCACCTCGAGATGATGGACGGCTTTTCTCCTCAAACAAATCCTTTTTAATTAAGGGCGCGTATTTAGGATGGTTGTCTCACGAGATCCCGGGATCAGAACGAACACTTAAATAAATCATAATTCGCCTCACCCATAATCACTTTTTCGCTAATTATTTAATTTTAGTTTTTCCGAACCCTAAGCAACCTGACTACTCAGAAGTTCCTCATGGTTGCATTGATTCCCTCCTGACCTGTCACCGAAACCCTAACCCTAACCTGTTCTGTCCCGTAAATCCTATAATTGAGCGATAATATTGCAATTATTCCTACACCTATCCTATACATTTACCTAAGAGTGTTATCCTAAACCTAACCGTTCAGCTCGATATATTTGGCTTAATACGCGGTTAAATAATCTACTTAATTAATTTTTATTCCTCAAAACTTGAATTCAGTCTTTTGGCGATCATTCACAATAACTCTTCCCTAAACCTTAATCCTCTTAATACGATATTTCCGCGTGAACACGCAATTAAATTCTCCAAAAAAAATAAGGCGAAATACGCAATACAAACTCTCCATAATTTTAAGCATTCAAACGCAATACAAATTCTCAATAATTTTAGGCATAACGCAATCGAAATTCTCGCTAATTTTGGCATCAAAAATGCATTTAATTTCTCAAATTTTTGGCGACTCCAAATTTCAATTCTGGACTCTACTGGGTCTTTTCTGCATACTCACGATTTTTTTTTTCTAATTTTCTTGATGATCTCGACGTTCAAAGGAAATTCCTCAGATTTCCTTACATGACTTATAATATCTCACTTAGTTATTCATTCAGAGACTTCTGCTTAATCACATGGATTGTTCGCACAATATCTGCTCAAAATATGAATAAATATATTTCTGCCACTGCGTAATTAACAGTGTGCTCGCAGTGGAAAGCTTCTCTCAACAATTCAACATCGCTTTGCTTTCAGTTTTCTGGGCTCCCCGAATTCGCCGGAAGGGAATCAGTCCTCAACTCGGAGGGTAACATCACACTGACTTTTACTCTTACTTTACTAATGACTTATTTGCTTACCTAAGCTTTGACTTGCGGTGGTCGTTAGCGTCGCTAGTCGTTGTCAGAGTGAAGATTCATCCGTTGATTTCCTCAGTCCAGGTTAGTACATATGTTCTCAGTTTTTTTGCACCAATTACACTAATTATCCTACTTTTTGCACCAAAATGAATGCACCAATAGGGAGCAGTTTTTCATTTCTTTTGGGTTCATTCGCATCATGGTCACCTCGCATGCTCTATTGGGCGAGGTGACCATGAGTTATAAAAATCTTTAAGTATAAGAGAAACTTGCATTTATTTCATTTTTAATGTATTTACATGTGAATATATTGCTCAAGTCTACGAAAAAATATATATTTATTCGCCACGTTAGCTCACTGAATATTCGCCATCATAATTATGCAGAGTAAAATATTTTCCTTTCTTAAATCATTCGGATCCGTTGAATATATGAAGTTCCGAGGGGAGTTTGGCCGCTCTTCAACTCGGACATTTCAAGGTTCCATTTCATTAACCAGCTTGCCGGATCATCCTGAAAATTATGCTGTGATTGAGAGATTGATAACGACGATATTTCATAAGACGCGATAATAAAATGAATGTTTACTAATCACAGATGAAAATATATAAATCCTTCAGCTAAGTGCAGAATGGTTATCTTAGATAGTACGTGAAATTATAATCAGAAATGGCTTGTTAATAAAGAGGTATTCTTAATTATATGAATAGCTTATGGGGAGACATCCATAATATATATGTAGCGGAGACCACAGTTAATCAGGGATTCTTCCACACTGTATGGCTGCATAATAAACCCCAGATGGATTAGCTTAGGGCATTCCGAAAGCAAGGGAAACAACGACAGTTAAAAACGTTGTAATAAATAATGTTGATGACTTCCGTGCAGTACATGTGTCTCGACTAAAGGAAATTGAAATATTAATCCCCATCAAGGGTAGATACGGCCAACAATTTGGAGGTCAGCGGAGAGAAAGTCACCCAGCTCGGAAATTTTGGAGCAAGCGAACTGTACGCGACTTTCTTTCAGTAATAGCGACATCTTTAAGCCAATCCAGGTGCTTTTAGGCGACCCCCATAGAATATGCGCCACCGTTAAAAAGCCCACCATAACGATATAGATCAAGAAAAATGAATATAATTTCCAAGTATTGAAAATTCACCGATGGCTCCTCATCTACGTTAGATAATTAAAAATTAAGATCAGTGGTCATCATTTTGGGTGACTAAAATTGCCTCGCTCCAATCCTAAGCTTCGGAAAAGGGGGATATAATTAATGCTATATCGATTATCCGATCAATTTATCTAGGACTTCTTGTGCGTTTTCATCATCAATATTGCTGTACGACTCTACAGTATGCAGGCGTAGTCTCGCCTGTACTAAGTTGTACAGATCAGTTAGTCATCACCCCTGTATACGAATGAACAAGGTGAATCTTTAAGGAATCCACGAGCCTTGAGTCTGTCCAATAGCTTGTGACCTTGGCCGGGGAATTAAAATATAATAATTCCCGGCGAAGGCACGATATTGGGGAATTTACGATAATCTAAAAAATGAAAGGGAAATTTATTATAATTTATGGGAGGACCTGAAATAATAAGAGGGAGGGGGATTCTCAATAATTACTCGGAGGGATTTATAAATTGACTACCTGTATTCTACTCTTCTTACAAACTATTACATCAAAATAATCCGGGTCTTTTAACTAATATAACTCGAGGGTGGGGGGTAAGGCCAACTCACTTGCGGCTACGCGAAATAATATAATAAAAAGAAGGGGTGGCTCTAACTCTGGAAAATGGGGGAGAAGTGAGGGGGGCCGACTGAAAAGGTAATAATTAATAGGGGGCTTAATCTACAACTAAAATAAATTTACTGGAGGCTCACCGTTGGGGGGAAATTGACACGGGGCAGGGAAATTCGTTGGGGCAGGGAATAAAAAATGGGGCACTCACGGGGAATGGTGTCCTCAGAATTCTCTCGGTTTTCCTCCGGGCTTTTGCCTCCTTCCTTCCTTCTCTCTCTCTCTGCTCTCTCCGTGTATCCTCTTCACAATAGTTCTCCTCCTCACAATCTTTCCAATAGTTCCTTTCACACACGAGAATAGTTCCTCTCCTGGCAATAGTTCTCCTCCTCACATTCTTTCCAATAGTTCCTCTCACAGTATTTCTCAAAATAGTTCCTCCAATAATTCCTTTTACATACTAATTCCTTTCCTCACACTTTGTTTTTTCACAATTTGTCAGGGTCTTTTCACAGGGTCTCTTCGGTGTAACTCTTTTACTTTACGGGGCAGTGACTCGTAGGGCAGCTGTGGCACGAGTGATAGCCGCCTATCATTTTCACTTGTTCCTCCCTGGTTTTGGGGGGGCCATCGGGTGTCCTTCTGCTCATCTGGGGGGCCCGTACGGCGGATTTCTCTTTCTTCCGGGGTCATGTGGGATCCTCTTCCTTGATGCCTAGTGTGTGATGGCGCGGGGAAATGGGGACGGGGGTAAGGAGTATCTGGGGATGGGTTACCCAACGGTGGCGAAAAAGATTACTTAAACCTAACTTAACCTATCAAAAATAACATATATTAATTCGGTGGGGGGGGCTCAAAATTCTGCCTCGTCACAAGCTCTGCTCTACAAGACTATCGACAAATAGTTCGACTGGCATCGTTCTATCGTGGACCAGCCGTGCCGATAATGTACGGTGTTTGCACGGCCATAAACCCCTACAGGAAGATCGAAACCTCACATCTTGTCCAACAAGTCAAGTGGTCCACAGTGTCTACACGGTCAGTAATTCCTCCGGGAAGGCTGATTCACACCAACCACCTTATCAATCCCTTACTCCAAGCGACGACTACCGTCAATTCAAAGTGCTCGGACTGGTATCACTGATAATCCTGCAATAAAAAGCAGCCTCCAGCTACCGGTCGTTGCGCCATCGACATCACTTTCTGCACGCTCCGCCTGGCTCAGCCGAGCGTCTCCTGAGCTAACAACCTTTGGCCATCTTCTATCCACGGAACCACAGCTTCAACCATTGCACGACATGCCAACCTCACTGGTAATCGTAAATCAAACACAAAACAGCATTTCACTCTACATTAACCTATTCACAACGCTCATTTGAAAACTCTCTTCATTTCTCCCTTTAGCTCGCACCCCTAACTGTATTCTTATGGTGGTATAATAAAACCCGAATTTTTACAGGATTCTCGAGATATGCTTTCTGCATGAAAAGCTTCAATGGTTACGCATCCATAATCATTGTGTACCTCAGTATTTAATCCCCCTTAATCAGTCCTCACCTGTGAAGATGTGTGGCTTCCTGATGTTCCTCACCGATTTTATTTACTTACGACTCACCCAACCCAAGCAATCTCTTAAAATTTATTTATGGGGGTTTGGGAATTATTAATATTGGGGTTATTTTCTCGAGCTTTGCTCCATTCATTGAATTATGCGTTTATCGCCATCCCGGTTCGGAATAAAAATTAATTTTGAATTGCAAATATTCGCCTGAGATTATTCTCGTGCCTTTTGGCCAAATTTGAGATTATTAGGGTTTTGAGTAATTAAAATTTCTGGGTCTCTGCGTACGTCACGCTTAATTTTGTATTTCTCTCTCTCAACTCTGTATTAATAATTTTCCTATTGAATATGGTTGTGGTTTTAGTAAATAGGCTGTGCCGGTTCTGGATAAACTGCAAGTCATTCCAGAACCGGCAGGTGTGTGGAGGGTACTCGCGCGCCGAGTTACCGCGAATAGCGGATGACGCATGGCCCACCTTGAGCGGTATCTCGAGAACCATGCATCCCTCGAGCCCCACATTAAAATTTGGGGGTTTAGTGAACCCCAAGGATCATGGAGTAATGGTGGTCCATCCGATATTATGGACCGGCATCCAAATTACTCGATGATTCACACAGTAGAGTCACAGCGTATATTTGAGGTATAGTGCTCCTTAGGGTAAAGAGGCAATGGAGACATACCTGATATTATCAACATGGCGATTCGCGATTAAGGAATTGGTAATATCCAAGAATTTTACGTCATCTTCGGTTGACCATTCCCGCCATAATTCTAGAAATGCTCATTCGACGGTACGTGACAACGAGCATTTCTCGGACATATTTCCTGGGGATATATAATTTGCACATCTTAGAGGTGCAAAAAAAATAATGGGAACGTGCTCCAGACAGTTTCCGTCAGCAGATCAACGCTTGACCATTCTCGCCTTGATTCACGAAATGCTTATTCGACGGTACGTAATTAAATGATAAAATAAATAAGAGGCATCTCTAAGACATGTATTCTTAGCATATTAAAATGCACTTCTTGAAGGTAGAAAACAATGGGAGCGTGCTCCAGATAGTTTTCATCATGCATATGTGCCACCTTTTGTCTTCGCATTTCGCGTTTTCAACTGTTAGGTTGATGAAGTTTGCAAACGTGAGGTGAACAATGGATAACGAAAAAGATGAAGCATCAAGAAGACAATATAAAATGGTGAGCATCTTAGACTTCATCACTCAGTTCTAATTCAAATCCATTCGTTCATCTCTCATCAGAAAGAACTCTCTCCAAATGGCGGTAAGAAGCCTGAATTTATTAAATTTTGACTCCATACAATGCAGTAATTAACGCAAATTTTTATTCCACAGACTCAAGGAATCTGGACGATCAGCGTACCTTCAATCATCGCATCGAGGGAGTGGGAAGGTATGGTGAGTGACGCCGAGGACAACCGCGCAAATATTAAGTTTTTACGAACCGGAGGCCGAGGCGATGGTAACTTTCGGGCGGGTGCAGACCCGATTTACCGTCTGCCCGTATGGGAACTTTTACCCACCCATGCGGGATACCGTGCCTCATCGTTGAGGCACAAAATCCGTCCGAAGAGGTGCTGCACTTAGGTCCCGCTTCCCCCGACCCCTCCCCCGATAATGGTGTAACACCATTAAATAGTGGTGGGTATAGTTAATTTCAACGATTGTGCTCACAAATATAATTCTTAAACCAATATCTAACTCCTTTAACACCTTTTTATTTTTTTTTACAGATCCCTCGACACCAATGGAGGCGGATTCAACCACCGCCGAAATCGAGATTATCACAATCTCCGACTCAGAGGATGAGTGAAAATCGTAAGTAAAATTAAAACAAAGAAATTAAAACAAGGAATAAAAGTCGCAATATTTCTAATTGTTATCTCTATCTGTTGGAGGTTCCCATCATCATGAATATCGAAGGTGGATCACCAATGTTGATAAAAAATAAGCATTTTTGAATTATAATCATTATAGTTATTGGAACTATTAGAATCTATATATTTTTATTAATTATTGTAAATTGTAAGCTAGATAATTTCTTAAAAAAAGAAAAATAAATATAAATCAATGATGAATAAAAATGAAATCGAACAATTATGTATTCTTCTTCATTAAAATGCCTACAACCAATTACGTAAATTTCGACATGTCTCGAGAAGGAGGGATCGTGGTTCCATCAGAAATAG